AATTGTTCCACTTGATCTTCAAGTTGGTTTCCTCTTTGTTTAACTCCTCCTCTTCTGGTTCTCTTTGTTCTTCTTCAAACTGAGTCACCATTTCTAGTTTTTGTAATATATTGTTGCACATTTCCAGATTCACTTTCATCACTTATTTCATATCTTATAGATCCAACCTCATTTCTGCAAATAGTTCTCCCATTTTTAGGCTGATCCTTTTTTCCCCCTTTCCTTGATAATTATACAATCCAAATGTCCAGTAAGTTGTTTCAACCAGCGTCTTTTATATTTAATTTCAACAATCAATGTCCATTAGTCTTTGTTTCCAGGTTCCTTCTATTGGTTTTTTCAAAGCCACTGGATAGTTCCAAAGCAATTTCTTCAGATGTCTTCCCCTTTATAATATTCCAATATTTCACTTTTTAGGGTTTTTCAGGGTTTTTATTTTATTATAATGAAGTTCCTCTTATTTTCTTTTAAGTTCCATGTCTATTTTAAAAGGACCAGACACTTTTCCAAAAGTCACTGAAATATTTCCTATACCATTAGGTGGCTCTCTCAGTTTTGTTTCCACATTCCACCCTTTCTTTCACTTCTTTTTTTAATAAAACTTTTGTTAATTTTGCTAATTCAAATTATTAGCTATTATTTCTTTTCAACACATTCTATTCCAGCATTCACTTATGCCTATTTAGTGCCAAAAATCCAATAATTATCCAATTTAAATTCCAAGCCTTTTGTGTTCAAATATTTTCCTCTAGATTTTCACTTCCAAATTAATTCTTTCAATATTCAAAGCCAATTTTATAAGTTCCAATTTCATTCTTTCTCTCTCTGGTCTCTTGATCTGGGTACACATCCTACATGCTGGCCTGTTTCCCCTTTTCTTAATCCTGATGTGTGTGAAGGTAAGAATCTACTGAAAAATACTTCCTTATCTAGTTGCCTTTTGGGCTTATGAGTTGGATTATGAATCTTTGTAACCAGAACAGGAACTTCACTGTGATGACATAGAAGACACTCTAAGGCAATGTCAAAGAATGCCATTTAATATCTTTCCTAATGTGAAGCAGTATATGAAACACTGGTTGCCTATTCATCAAAACACTTTGGTTCAAAGCAATTTAAATTTCCTATTTGTTATTTAAATGAACTCATCTGTTTAGGCCAACTGCTTGTGAATCATTCTGTACATTAAACTGACTGTCAACTTTAAGAGCTAGACTTATGAATGGAATTCTTAGGAAAGAAAAAAGAGTGGCCTTTTGCCGAGCTTATTGAAAACTGCTTTATACTTGACATGTAAACATATGAATCCAGTTCTGCTAGATTGGAAATAAGATATGTCTACTGCACAGTTGTAAAACTTGATCGCCTCATGTGACATATCGCGACGTATCATGATGGGTTTTCTCTTTGTTGTGCCAGGGTGGGTGTGGCCTGCATGTGATGCATCCAGCCCGTGGACTGCCAGTTTGCCACCTCTGATCTTGTGCTATCTCTGCATGAGAGCTGCTCTCAGTCAAGAACAGATAATAGTTGATCAAGTAGACACATGTCGGACTACAGTAATCTGTAAAGGCAGATTAGTAGGACTACAACAGAGGGAGACATCAATGAGTGGGAAAGGTGATTCTCTAGATTAGTGGTTCCCAAAGTGGGTGGTACCGCCCCCTGGGGGTGATGGGATGCCTTAGGGGGTGCTAAGAGGCAAGGGGGCTGGCAGGGAGGCACTAATAAGCAAGGGGGGGCATTCGAGGCACCGGCCACGCAGGCTCACCCCATTGACATTTGCACCGCTCGGTAGCCAGCGCCTCAAATGCAGCAGCAGTGGCATGTGGGGAAAGTAAAGCAACGTGCCGCTGTGGCCACGTTCGATGCGCCAGCTCCACAGGCTCACCCCATTGAGCCCCTTGCACTGCTCTGGTGCAACAGTCAATGGGGTGAGTCTGCGGTGCCGGCACCTCGAATGCCCCCTGCCACCTCTTAATGCCACCAAGGGGGCCAGCAGAGGGGCGCTAAGAGGTAGCAGGAGGGCATTCAAGGTGCCAGCACCGCAGGCTCACTCCATTGACTGTTGCACCAGAGTGGTGCAAGGGGCACAATGGGGTGAGCCTGCGGAGCTGGCATGTCGAACGCAGCGGCGGCAGCACGTTGGGAAAATAGAGCAAAGCCTCTACTTTCCCAAGTGCTGCCACTGTCACATTCTGTATCTATCTATCATCTATCTATTTATCTATCTCTCTATCTATCATCTATCTACCTACCTACCTACCTACCTATCTATCTATCTATCTACATCCATACATTCATCCAAAAGGTCTGTCTGTCTGTCTGCCTGCCTGCCTTCCTGCCTGTCTTTCTGTCTACCTACCAACCTATCTTGCCAATATAGATCTATTTATCTACCTACCTACCTATCCATACATACATCCAAAAGGTCTGTCTGTCTTTCTGTCTGTCTTCCTGCCTGCTTGCCTGCCTACCTATCTATCCATATATTCATCCAAAAGGCCTGCCTGCCTCTACCTATCTATGTACCTATGTACCTATCTATCTATCTATCTATGTATCTATCTATCTATCTATCTATCTATCTATCTATCTATCTATCTATCCATCCATCCATCCATCTACCTACCTACCTACCTACCTACCTCTCTCTCTGTCTCTCTGTCTCTCTCTATCCATCCATCCATCCATGTTCGAAACGCCGGCCCCGCAGGCACATCAGGAAAGTAGAGCAAAGCCAGTCTGGGAGGGAGGGGGAGAGGGAGAGGGAGAGGGAGAGGGAGAGGGAGAGGAAGGGAGAGAGAGAGAGAGAGAGAGAGAGAGAGGGAGAGAGAGAGAGAGAGAGAGAGAGAGAGAGAGAGAGAGAGAGAGATCTTTGCCAGCACATTGAAACATCTTTGGCTTCTATTAAAGGTTTTGTGGACGAAACATGGTCAAGACTATCAGGAAGCTCTCACATTTTGTTGAGGCTTTAAACAGGATCCATTGGACCAGATTTCCACCCTAAAAAATTACTTTTCCCCAATGTATTACAATGCCAACTCTGAAAAAGGAAAAAACCAAAATGTACTGGTAAATTACAAGGAGAACACACACACACACACACACACACTCCTAACCCTGTTGGAGCAGGTGATTGGACTAGAATAGATATCTCATTATCTTTCTCTCCCTTCCTCCCTCCTTCTTTATTTCTTTTTCTTTCTGTCCCTTCCTTCCATCCCCCCATCTTTCTTTGTCCCTTCTTCTTTCTTTCCCTTTTCTCTTTCTTTTCTTCCTTCGCTCTTTCTCTCTCTCTCTTTCCCTCTCTCAGACTCACCCCATTGACTTGGTGCACCACTCTGCTCGGACTTGCTTGGGCAGGTCCCTCTGGTGCAGTGGGCTCAATGGAGTGGACCTGCGGGGCCAGCACCTAGAACGTGGCAGTGGTGGCACATTTGAAAAGTAGGGCAAAGCCAGAGGTCGGTAATTTTTTCTGCAAAGAATTACAAAAGCTTCTGGGTTGTGCACAAGAAGGGACACACATGTCAATGCAATTCAGCAACATAAAATAAAGAAATACAAATAAAACAAATCAACAAGAATTGGCAAAGCATCTCTGATTAGATTTTATTCACTACTAGAATCTAATCAGAGATGCTTTGCCAATTCTAGTCCAATGACCTGCTTCAACAGGATTAGAAGGGAGTGTGTGTGTGTGTGTGTGTGTGTGTGCATGGCTGTCAAAACTCCAAAAACAGATCAAGTACCGTATTTGCCGGCGTATAAGACGACTTTTTTGCCCTGAAAAAGATGCCTCCAATTGGGGGGGTCGTCTTATATGCCGGGTCGTCTTATACGCCGGCAAATAGTAATTGGGAAGCACTGCGGCTGCCCGTGGCTGAGGCACTTTTGCGCACCGTGGAAACGAATCCCATGAAGCCGAAAGGAGCAGCCAGCCTTCTCCCAGCTCCCAAGGAAACGAGGCTCGCACCGCCCGAGCTCCGCTGAGGTATCCGGCTGGGGCTGTCAGGAGTTGTTACCGCTGGCGCGGCTCCGCGCGGCTCCAGTCCCGCGTTGCCTCGGGAAGGGAAAGGCAAAACCAGGAGCCGCTGCTGCCATTGCAAAGCGCCGCCGCGGCTCTTCCTTTTTGCCTTTCCCTTCCCGAGGCAACGCGGGACTGGAGCCGCGCCAGCGGTAACAACTCCTGACAGCCCCAGTCAGATACCTCAGCGGAGCCCGGGCGGTGCAAGCCTAGTTTCCTTGGGAGCTGGGAGAAGGCTGGCTGCTCCTTTCAGCTTCACGGGATTCGTTTCCACGGTAGACAAAAGTGCCTCAAAAAAAAAAAAAAGTGCAAAAGTGGAAGGCGTGCGGAAGAGGGGGCGAGTATATAACAAACTATATTTTGAGTGGAAATGTTGGGGGGTCGTCTTATACGCCGGGTCGTCTTATACGCCGGCATATACGGTAGCTCTGGCAAGGCCAGTCACAAATTAGAACACTTGGTAAACAACCGGCCATTAAGTGAGGACCACTTATATTTGGTTTGCCAGTCACCTGGCCACGCCTACCCAGTCACATGACCACCAAACCACACCTACCCAATCACGTGACCAGCAAGCCACGCCCACCCAGTCACGTGACCACCAAACCACACCTACCCAATCACGTGACCAGCAAGCCACACCCACCCAGTCACATGACCAGAAAGTCACACCTTCAAATTAGGCCACGCCCTCAGAAATTTGAATCCCACCCTTGGGTGGGGGGCACTGAGGATGAGTTTGTAGCACCAAGGGGGCGGTGGACTGAAAAAGTTTGGGAACCACTGCTCTAGATAGTATATGTTATTAATTTCTAATGTGACTTTTGTTATAATACATAAATTTAGTTTTGCTTCCACTGATGTATCCTATAATTGCAGTCATTGCCACTAGGAACAGGATTTGAAACTTTTATCCCACATGAGCACAGTCATATAGACAAATAAATAGAAAGAAAAAAGGAGGATCACTTACATATAATATGTAGGAAACACCCCTTCAAAGTACCAGCATTGCTTTTTGGCCTCTGAATACTGAAAAGAAAGAAAAAATATAGTGTTGTTCATCAGATGCCAGCATGAATCATTATAAACATAAAGGATATTACAACTTCATTTATCAGAAATTCTAATGAAGTAAAAAAAATATCTCCAGGAGGTTTTTCCAATCTGCTGCTATCTAGATGTGAATGAAATATAATTTCCAAAAGTTCTTACATTTTGCATGTGGAGTTGAATGAAAATAATTTTAAATAAATCCTAGGATAATAAAAGTTACCAGTTTGGGAAAAGATTAAATGTTATCTCTGAACTATTTCTTCCACAGTTTTCTTCAGGGCTCTTGCCATTAAAAGGGAAATAAAGAGATGGCAAGGATCTTTTGTCCGTACATCTACTTTGCCCCCAGGAATCCTAGACAAATCATAACCTTTTCTCTTATCACAAACTGCAAGCATATGCAAACATTTGCAGTGAAATTCTTCACGTTTACTTGAAGGAAATCTTCCTACTATGCCAAATTAGGTTTACCTACTAGTATGTTGCTTCTGATCAAAACATTAATCTTGAAATAAATCTGATTGAACCAACTACAGAATTTCTGAAAGTCAAATTACATCAGATTTCCATCATCTACACAGGTGGCCAACTTAGTTGCAGGCATTAGGGAAAGAAAGGAGTATGACTGCTGGAGAAATGCAAAATTTTAGAAGGAACTATGTTCTCTTACTTGAGTTCCTTTTTTATTTTTTGGACACCATTTCTTCCACTTTTATATAATAGACTTTTCCAGGAATGCTGGACAAGAACTCCCAGCTAGCAAGACGTTTGTAAATTGTCATCTAATATATCTGACGGGCCTTAGACTGACAAAGGGTAGATTTAAAACAAATGGAATATTTCCCTTATTCACTGTTGCTTTGCATTGATTCAGAACTCTTTCTATCTTGAATTACTCTACCCAATATTTCTATGGTAACATCTCCAGCTGTTTGGAATTGGGATATTGTATGCTTGTTCAAAATAAGGCATTTTTTTTAGTGTGCTCATTCTGTTGATATTCCTCTTCTTTCCACACTATGTAAATATAAACAAGCTACATGTTGGATTGTAAAATGGAAGCTGTCATTTGAGCAGATTTAATTCTCAACTGAATATCACACTGAACAATTATTCTAGAAAGATAATGACGGAATTACAGGTTTTGTCCATTGGGTCACAGGCCCTATCTACAGGTAACAGCCTCTACACTTTTGACAAGGGACAAATAAGATTAAATTCAAAATACATACGAGCATCAGTGTAAATTATTTCAATGTTCTAAAACATCCTGTTGTAATACACTTAGAAACTTAGGAAGTTTGGGTTTAAAACAATAAAATATTTCTGAATAATATCAAATATCAATGTTAATATTGCTATTATAATTGTTTAAATATTTTACTTTTTTAATCATACTGAATATTCACATATTGAATATTCACCTGCAGTAGAAAAATAGTGTGCAGCTTGCATATGTTAACAAAACTGGTCACCTCACCTAATTGCGTGTTTAACCTTACCCATATCTTAGAATTTTTGCTTAAGCACAAAACCATAAGACTTTCTACATTTATCAAATACATAGAACTAATCAATTACTTTAACAAGTAATGATAGCCTATTTCAATTTGGCAAATGAAAATCGATATTCTCCTTTCTAGGATTTTCAAATTTATTTGGAGTTATGCTTATGCACAAACTGTCTTAACTATCTTGTTTATGAGTTGATGGAAATGTTTACTTATATTTTGTTGCTAGAGATTTGACTTTTTTAATGCATGATGAAGACAAAATTATCTCTGAAATCTTTTTGATATTCAGAGAGATGACTCATTCATTTAGCATTATAATATAATTAGATTGCATGTATGGTTACAACAGACTTATAACACATTTAATCAGTATTTCTTAGTGTTCTTCATTGTTCAGAGACCTAATATCAATTATAGTGTTTTAGTTGGAATTAATGCAGGTTAATAGGAATTAATACTGGAAAGAATCTCAGTAGAATATATTGCAATGTTTGTACCTTAATTTTTTTCAGAAAGAACTATCAATTTGAGTTGCAAAAGATGAACACTGTCATTAATTGATAGATGGTAAATATATTTCTGTCTTAGAGGAACTGTATTAGAACTAGCACAATGCCTTTCTTAGTCTTTCAAAATAAAGAAATATTTGTATTTACCAGATAAGCTAAAAGGTATTGCCTTCTGAATTGGCAATACTAAAAAAGGCAGATATTTCAAAATGAAGAAACTACAGAAAAAAACTTTTTTCTGTAATTTGCTTCATTTTTAATTTAAAATAAAGATAATTCCTAGAGATCTTACATGAAATTATTGTAAAGGTAAAGATTTCCTCTGTCCTGTGGTGTGTGACTCATGTCTGCTTTTCAGCCAAGGGAGCTAAATAGAATGCTGTTATCTTCCCATCAATGTGGTACCTATTTATCTACTCACAATTAATGGGAGCTCACCCCATTGTCTCAAACCCAGACTATTAGCTTTCCAGCTGAGCGTCTTTAACACTAAGTCATTGTGTTCCCCTGAAATTATTGTAAATGAAATTAATGTCCAAGCTCTGGACCTGGCCAACACAGAAGCACAACTGCTCTGGAACCATGAAATAGAATCCAGGTTTATTCAGGTCAGAACCTTAGCACAAATTGAGTTCAGTTACAGGTATAAGTCCATTGTTAAGACTACGCTGGGAGACACTGCCTCCCAGTGTCTTTTGTAGGCAGAATCCACACCCTCCCTGCCTGGACATGCCCCCAGCCATTCAGCCAACATCCAGTAACTGAACATCCCTCTTCAGCTAGCAGTCTTTTTGCAGCAAACAGTCTACCAGGGCTCCGATCTCCTTCCCAGCAACCAATTGTGCAGCCTCTCCCAACAACCAGTCTTCCAGGGTTCCGCTCTATGGCCCATCGCTTTTTGAGTCACCACTGGCCAGCTGGTTGTCAGCATCCCGGCACCCCACTGATCAGCTAGGCCAGGTGACCGGAAACACTGCCATCACCTTGTAGGCACTGGAGAATTCATTGCTGAACAGCTGGGAGGCAGTGGCTCCTAACACTGACTTCATCTCAATGGTCCAAGCTCCGGACCTGACCAACACAGAAGCACAATCGCTCTGGAACCATGAAATAGAATCCAGGTTTATTCAGGCTGGAACCTCAGCACAAATTGAGTTCAGTTCAGTGGTGGGATTCAACTGGTTCTCAACTATTTGCTAGAACTAGTTGTTAACTTTCTAAGCAGTTTGGAGAACCAGTTGTTGGAAGAAATCTCCTTTTGTTTTTTTCCACTAATCCCGTAAGGAAGGCAGGAAGTAAACATTCTAGTGTTGTTTCTAGACTAATCTTTATGCCCTGGTTACAGAAACCGCCTCTTAGTTAACCCTTATAACAGCTAAAGGTTCATGGCAGTACACCCAGACTTATTGTCACCTGATCTCCAGAATTTTTCTTTTCTTTGCTGGTACTTTGCTGGGGCTTGACTTTCTTAAAGGGAAAGAGTTGTTTTAAACTTTTTACACTGCTTTTGGGAGGAAATACTCTCCTGTTGGAGTTTTTCCAGCTGGGATGCAACTTTGAAGAAATAATTGAATAGCAAAGCAGAGCTGCCGGAAAGAAGCTTTCAATGACAAGGACCTAAGATGAGTGATATTCAGCAAGGCTAGCTAGAAAGATTGACATTCAAACGTGAGTTTACATATCCTTTCTGAGTTTTGGTCTAAAACTGGATTTTGGTGAATTTTAATTCTGTGCTTGGTGATTATTGAAAATTATTGATGGGATAATTTTGCCTATTCAGCTTTGTTTGGAAGGGAAAAAAAGGTTAATTTCTGTTCCTGAAAAGAAGGAGGATTCAGTAATCTGGCTAGTTTCTGTGTTCTGGTAATTGGTTTAACAAGCAACAGCTTCTGTGTTTGTTCTTTTGCTACCTTCTAGCTCGAATTGCTTTCTTTGTAGTTAGGCTTACCTCAAGTGTTTACACTTGAGCTTGCCTGGGATGTGATCTTGTCTTTTAGTTTTAAAAGGATTTAAAATGTTTTGATTTAAATTTTTGTATTATGTTTGAATTTTTTCCTGCCGCATGGTTTCTTTTTTATCTGGGAGGATTTTCCTTCACTGCTTTAGTGGTTCCTGACAGTCCTTTTGGGGTGTACTTCCAAGAGGCAGGATGCAAGCTTGGCACTGATCTTTTTTACTGCCTTTCTGGAGGGCACATGATTTTTTCCTTAAATCTGGATGAATTCCTTAGGATATCTTATGAGGTGAATGAGACAGCTGGTATCTTTTAGGGGTGCAAATGGATCTAAGGATTGCTTCTCCTGGGTGTGCTCTTTCTGGAGAACTTAAATGACTTCTCTGCTAAAGGGTTTCACTTTATGAGCAAGAATTGGCTGCTGATAGTTTTTAACTATTTTAATTCCTCAAGGTGCTCTGGTACCCTGCCTGATTTGTAACTCCACCCAGTCACATGACTACCCAGCCATGCCTACCCAGCTGGTCATTAGGGCAGAGAACCAGTTGTTGTATTATTTGAATTCCACCACTGGTTCAGTTACAGGTGTAAGTTCGTTGTAAAGTCAGCACTGGGAGCCACTGCCTCCCAGTGCCTTTGGTAAGCAGGGTCCACGGCCTCCCTGCCTGGACAACCCCCAGCCATCCAGTAGCAGACTGGTTCTTTTCAACTAGCTATCTTTTTGCAGCAAACAATCTGTCAGGGCTGTCAGGGCTGTCATCTCCTTCCCAGCACCAGTTGTGCAACCCTTCCCAGCAACCAGTCTTCCAGGGCTCTGTTATATGGCCTTCCACCACTTTTCAAACCACCACCAGTTAGTTGGTTATTGGCATCCCAACATCGGCTGATCAGCTGGGTTGGGTGACTGGAAACACTGCTGTACCACTCCGCCTTTGCCTGGTAGGTTCTGGAGACTTCACTGCTGAACAGATGGTTGGCTGCTGTCTCTCGGGCCCCCAG